TACAGCATATTACAGACATCTTGATCTGTCAGACGTTTCCCAAAAGATTGGTTAGCAAAATTCTTTATGTGGAATGCAGCGGTACCAGATATCAGCAGCGGTCTCACAATTTGAAACTCCCCACCCGTTAACCTGCGCACCCATGAATTACCTTGATACCTCAGGGAATTGCACTCGTGGTTGTGATGCACATTCCCACTTACAACAGTCCAGTAGCCGTCTATGATCTTACAATACGTGAAGGCCGAACATTGAGTGTTCATGGAATCCCTTCATGACCAAAAATTTTAATAACATTACTCAAATCACCTCCTCCGTCTGATCCGATGTGACGAACCGCTAGATGTTATACGGCCATGTCTCCAGCATACAAATTTAATATACCAGTTTTCATCTCTGCACAAATGCGAATCTCGAACTACATAATGACTGTAAGTCGATCTTTCATAATTTGTCATAGCGGACTTCAACGCTTCAAGCGATGGAAACGCAACGAGAAACAAGGTTGTCAAAAAGACGAGCTCCATTTCTGTTACGTTAGAAACAACGGCGCTTGTACTCGGCACGTTACTCTCCTATATAATGATGATTAAAATGTACTTCGTCGACAAGTACTGATGTTTTATAACTATTTGACAATACATGACTAACCAAATGAAACGAATTATGAAAATAGCCTATTCATTGGACGAAACGGTATGAAAAATATTGTAATTTTGGGGTTGAAAAATTAAAACCAACTTCCAGTGTGTTTCATTTCTAGCAATTCGTAAAGTACAATTTAACCATATTATCCACCGTTCATTTTCATAAATGTTTCTTATTATTTTTGCACTGTATGGTATGTTGTGTACATACTGTTTCTGTAAAGAGTAGATAGAAATGAAAATATCCCAAACATTTTGGTGTTCTCGAGTGCGACTTATACTACTACGGTTCAGTATTTCTGAGGGTCTTTTCACAAAAGCTTCAGTTACCTTATTAAAACCAATCCAATGATATTCCAATAAAATCAGAATATTATGATTGATTTAAATAAAGAACCTGTAATGAGATGAAAGGTGATTTATTGTCGTGTATGTATTCAGTCGTTGATTGCTGTCTTCAACCCAGACTCGGATTCAATTGACACAAAGTTCAGTCTGATTTAGACTGATGGATCAATGCTAACAAGCATGAAGTTCATGGGTATGCGTAAACAATTAGATGAACAAGAACTGTTGAGTTACATAAACCTGGAGAAACAACAATGTCAATGTCGGACTTGAGAATCTCAACTAAACTGAGCATGTATTAGAGATTTAATAATGATAAATATATAATTTGTAATGTGCTCATGGGTAGAAAATTGCACATCTGACGTTTCGTGACTTAATGTATTCCACCTCTTCACAGTAAATATATCATCAGTAACTTATTTACTGTGAAGAGGTGGAATACATTAAGTCACGAAACGTCAGGAATACACATTTTCACTCTTCAGTATATCACATAGTGTAGAATAATTCACTTATTTTCTGATTATTATCACCAATAAAATACACTTGATCACCGTCAACGGTTACTTATGCTTCACCATTGAGATTACAATATTCTATACTATTGTTATAACAAATTAAATCAACTGATTCATTCCATTTGAACACTCGTATACATGAGAATACTCATGTGAAATATAAAAATAGAAACCACTTCTCTAATTAGTAGTATATACACACATAGAAGTAAACGCAAATACATTCATCACACAACAACAGTAAATGTTCCACCATCATTTGAATTGACAACATGGAAAACAAAACGATGAAAATAGCTGTAATGTGCATGATTCCAGTTATAGAAAAACAAACATTACACACACATCACAACTATTTACTACAATGACGCATCTCAGTTAGAATGAAGATAATTAGTCGCATATTTTGTGACAAATCACACATCATCTATCATCACATTTCAATAGTAAAATCGAATATCTGTCAACACTCTCTTATAGTCGATCCATTATCATCAAACTGACAAATATGAACTAAACATTCTCACAAAACAATTGGAAGCGCTTTTCATCGAATACAACTGTTTGCTTTTAGTAAGTGAAGCTTCTGTATTCCTCTTGATTTGCCCACTTCATTATTAACTATGTTATCAAGATATTTGATGGAGTTTGGCTATGGAATAAAATGAAATTAAATCGGAGGACGTGATGAAAGAATACCGTGAAATTTTACAAGGAGTGGTACCACTCATCTCTCTGCGAAGTCTAGGTCGTCCAGTTGCATGCTAGATGTCCACTGTATCCCGCGTTTCCCTACAGATGTTGATGTCTTCATGATCCAGTTGATCACCAGGAGAAAGAGAAAGGCTGAGAGTAAGCAACCTTGCTTGACACTGGTTTTTACCACGAACGAGTCTGTCAATTGTCCTCCATGCACGATTTTGCAGTTTAATCCATCATAGGAATTCCGTATGATATTTACTATCTTCTGAGGTACGCCGTAGTATCGAAGAAGCTTCCATAGTGTTGTTCTGTCCACACTATCAAATGCTTTATCGTAGTCAATGAAGTTGATGTGGAGTGATGAATTCCATTCAATTCATTGTTCCACAATGATCCGTAGAGTTGTGATTTAGACTCTAAACGATCTATCCCTACGGAATCCTGCCTGTTGATCTCAAAGTTGAGCGTCTAAGCAGTCCTTCATCCTGTTTAACAATACACTGTTGAAGAATTTTCCCGGTATTGAGAGAAGAGTGATGCCCCTATTGAAGGCACATAGATTTGAAAATCTCTCACCATTTTCGTTCCTTTCTCCCAGTCCGTGTCGTCCCATGATGTCTTCATATCCGGTGTTGTCCATTCCAACCTTGGCATTTAAATCACTCATCAGAATGCCCAAGTCCATTGTTGGGCACTTCTCGATGATTGACTGCATCCTATTGTAGAATTGATCTTTAGCGTCTTCATTGTAGTCGTTGGTAGGCGCATAGCATTTGATGATGTTCATTGTGATGCATATTCTCTCTTTGTTTTGAAGGACGCTTTGATGATCCTTTGTCCATGAGATTCCCATTCTATAAGTGCATTTTGTGCTTGTTTGGACAGCATCAATGCAACTCCTTGTGTATGTGGGGCATTCTTCATGGCCGGAATATAACATAGTTTGGATTATTTCTTCATGTTAGAGTTGTTTTCGCGAGTTAGTTTTCTACGTGATGGAATCGCTAACCCCATGCCCAACCCTTTTCCTTTACTCGAACTTGGGACCGGCAGTAACTCTAGAAGAGATACAGGTGGAGTCAATGAAGCCTTAGCCATACGAAAATTCAATCCTCCTTTGTGTATTCAAAAACAGCTTGTTCTCAGATTGTTCCAAATGTATTGCGATAATATATCATCATTACATAGTTCTGACAATCTTCGTCTTCTTATTATACACTAGCGAAATTTCTCAAAGGGATTAATTGCTTTAAGTGAAAAATCAATCGATCAATCAATAATAATAGGGATAAGGGAAAATATGACTCATCTGACACCTGTTAGACAATCTGCATTTTTGACTAAGCAGATAACCAATCATTATCATTCTTGCACACACATCACCCCCTCGCAAAACTTGATCGTATGTTTTCACTTTTGAGTCTATTTGTAAAAATCTGGTTTGTTTCCGTTCTCTGGATGATCTTCAGCTACCTTCTGATTTCAACTCATTTTTTGTCATTTCAACCTGTGGTGGTAGTGGTGGCATATTAAATGTATCACATAATACTGAGTTTAGATGACTCATAAACACTTTTTCTATCTCACAATTCATTGATTAGTGTATTTTCGACCATCAATTTATACAATACCGTCTCACGTCTTTGATTTACACACCCAAATGTTCATTTTGGTTTGTCAGGACGGAAATCACGTGCATAAACTAAGTCACTTGTTTTGAATTCGCGAATCTTCGGGCAATTCCATTTCTTGTTTTTCTTTGTAGTCCACTCATTCTGTCTTTCGAGATCAAAACATCGAGAAATGTCCTAATTGGTCAGCCAAACATTATATTGGCTGGTGAATTTCTGTCTTGACAGTTTGCACTAGGTGTAATTCTATAGAAAATTAGAAGATGTTGCAGAGCCTCTTCTACGTTATCTTCTACCATCATAGAGTTCGCTTAAGAATATCAACACATTTTTCTGCTTGCCCATTCAGCTGAGGTTGATACAATGGAGTTCCAATGTGTTCGATTCCATTTCTTTACAGAACTCCGCAAACTCTGTCGACGTGAACTGCGTTCCGTTATCTGAAACCAAGACATTAGGTGTCCCAACCTGCCTATTAGTTGTTTGAGATATAACAGTGTTTCACATGTAGACGGTCTTCGTACAGCATAGATTTCAGTCCATTTAAAGTACGAATCTACCACCACCAAAAATATTGTCCGTTTATTCGTCCAGCCTAATCGATGTGAACTCAGACCCAAGGCTTTCTCGTTTCTAGCCATGGCAAGGATTCTACAATCAGCGTACTCGACGATAGATCCCAGAAACGAAATTCATCTATCCAATCAATACTTAATACGTCGGTATTACAGTTTCCAGATACATAATATTTTCCGGTCATAGTCCTGTCACGCATGTGAGAGGTAGCTGTATTTCCTCAAGAAGAATAATATTAGTTCCTGTTGCACTTTGAGCATTATAATCTGTAGGTTGATATTGAGGTTGACCAAGTTTTATCCAAGTCTCTCTAGAAATTAATGTTATGTCAGACCCCATTGTCACGTCCAACTTTCTGCTTGTTCCCTTCATTGAAGTACGGTATGTCGATCTATTTGCAATTCACGAACCCAAATTAACAATATAACCAAATTGCAATTTACGTATAAAATTTTATTCGCGATTTACAAATAGTCGACTCAAATGTCGTTCTAACAACAATAATTATAACAAATACAATACAAACCTTCAATTTTGTAGGTTCTCGGAGCAAAAACTCTCAAATACCAAACCAATGACAAAGAGAAATCAAAATATCCGACAAGAATGATATAAACAAACAAGTTCAAAGGTTAAGTAAAACAAATACATCCAAAAAGCACAGTAAAATTATTGATGTACAATAAAAAGGTTTTAATCAGCCAAATGTCTACAGTTCTCCCGTAACACCCATATCAATTCGCAGCTTAACAGGTTTACCATTTAAAAAGTTAGTTACGTACATCCTTTTAGACAAGAATCGAACACGTTTTGTGGTGAGAACAACGTTCAAATTATGTGTTATCTCTTGTGACATCTGTGTGTTGTTTCCTTTACGGAACTTTTGGTGACGGTCGGCAATCTTCGGCCTACTTTTACAACATACTTGAGCATGACCGCATTAGAAACAAACTTTTTTAAAGTAGCAAACATTACCAGAATGACACTTACCGCATTGTCAACAAGACGTTTTGGGTTTCATTCGATTTTGGATTCGTCGGGAGTACGAATCCATATTTCTGTTAAAAGATTTCCGCAGAACATTAACTTCCACATGTTCATTGTTCCTTTTACATGATTTGTGTCATGCTTCAAATTAACCATACTTTGAAATTCTTCAGATACTGATTGCAGACTGATATTAGGATCTTGTTCGATCTTCACTAAAATTCGTGTTCTGATATCTGCATCTACTGCAGATTGTAACACACAGACAAAAATAAGGCATTTAAACTGATATGAGGATATTTCCTGTAAACGAAACCACTCACATTCCCGGTTCCCGATGCATGTGTACGTCATATAATCGTCCTGTGGTTTTTTCACAAGCTGGAGGCATTGGTATCTAGTGTGAAAAACTGATGATCAAACACCAAACATACGTGTCAGGCACTCTACTATTTCTCTGAAGGTTATGTCGGTTAGCTTCTTTGGGAGGATACAATTACAGAACTTTTCATGTTCAAACACTCCGAGCTTGCATAATTATAATCTGAGTTTCGAAACTTCGTTCCACTCTTTACACTCATTAATAAACAAATCCTCATGGCGTTTAAACCATGCCTCAAAAGCAGTTCCACATTCTGGATCGAATCTAAATTCCTTTATTGAATTCGCAATAGAATCTGGAGTCATAGTGAAATTAGATACATTAATCCTCGAGGATATTGACATACTTTTGACTATTAATACAATAAGAAAATTTTTCTGTTGTAATTAAAGTTTACAGATCATCTATTTTATTGTTACAAAATCCACTTTAACTGAATATATAGGCGTAGATCCGTTTTAAACACGTTACTTAATTACTTGCGCCTGTTACTCCTCGTGAAGGAGAATAGGCCGCTCACCAGCATTCTCCATCCAAACCCGTCCTTCCCAATCCTTTCCAGCTCCTTTCAGTTCCTATTCATCCTTTTCATATCTGCTTCTATTATCCGACGTAATGTGTTCTTAGGCCTTCCTCTTTTCCGTTTCCCTTCAGAATTCCAAGTTAGGGCTTGTCTCGTGGTGCAGTTTGATGATTTGCGTGATGTATGTCCTATCCACCAACTGCATCGTCTTTTCCTAATTTCTTCTTCAGCTGAAAGCCAATTTGTTCTCTCCCACAAAAGGATGTTGCTGATGGTATCCGGCCAATAGATGTTGAGTATCTTACGTAGACAGCTATTTATAAATACTTGTACTTTCTTGATTGTGGTTGTTGTAGTTCTCCAAGTTTCAGCTCCATACAGTAGAACTGCCTTGACGTTGGTATTGGAGATTCTCACTTTGATATTGGTTGAGAGTTGTTTTGAATTCCATATGTTCTTCAATTGTAGGAATGCTGTCCTTGCTTTTCCAATCCTTGCCTTTACGTCTGCATCTGAGCCTCCTTGTTCATCGATGATGCTTCCTAGGTATGTGAAGGATTCTACATCTTCCAGAGTTTTTGCCATCAAAAGTTATCGACTACTGTTCTCCGTGTTGTATTTGAGGACCTGTGTATGTTGACGCCTACTGATGCAGAGACTGCCGCCACACAGGCTGTCTTTGTCTGCATTTGTTCGTGTGTATGAGTTCCGGATAATGTTGACAATCTTCTCAGGAACTCCGTAGTGTCGAAGAAGTTTCCATAACATTCCTCTATCCACACTGTCAAATCCCTTTTCATAACCAATGAAGTTGATGTATAGTGACGAGTTCCACTCAATTGATTGTTCGACGATGATCCGTAATGTCGCAATTTGGTCTGTGCACGACCGATCCTTACGGAATCCAGCTTGTTGCTCTTGAAGTTGGGCGTCTACTGCATCCTTCATCCGGTTCAGCAAAACTCTGTTAAAGACTTTTCATGGTACTGACAATAGTGTGATTCCTCTGTAGTTTTCACATTTGCTCAGATCTCCTTTCTTTGGAATCTTGATGAGGTGTCCTTCTTTCCGATCCATCGGCACTTGTTCCTCCTCCCAAATCTTTTTGAATAGAAGGTGAAGCATGTTTGTAGTTGCTTCGATGTCTGACTTCAGTGCTTTAGATGGTAAGTTGTCCGGTCCCGCTGCTTTCCCGTTCTTGATTTGTCTGACGGCCACTCTGATTTATCCTTCGTTGGTGAGTTGACGTCTATGGGAAGATCTGTGTGTGCCGCTTCGATGTCCAGTGGATTCATTTGAGCCGGCCTATTCAGGAGTTCCTCGAAGCATTCCACCCATCTGTTCCACTGTTATTGAATTTCAGTGATTGGCTTGCCTTCTTGGTCTTTGTCCGGTCTATTTGGTTTACTGTATTTCCCTGATAGTTTCTTCGTTTTACCGTAGAGCTGTTTTATATTTGCTTTCCCTAGCAGCTCTTTCCGCCGTCGTTGCTAGTTTTTCTACGTATTTCTTCTTGTCGGTTCAAATGCTCTTCTTCACCTGTCAGACTATCTGCATTTTTGACTAAGCAGATAATCAATCATTATCATTCTCGTCCACACATCAATTTCATTGATCATCCTTCATGAAATACACCTGCTCCACATGAATCTCATCCTGTTTACTCTCACTTAACTGAACTGCCACAATTACAGATATCCAAAATTATTGTTACGTACATTCACAGCTTGTGTTCTTCAACGTTATATTGGTCTATCGACTGTCTTTATTATTTTGAAGTATGTCCTCATGATTTTGAATGAACAGTTACCTAGCATAATTGAGGAAATACTGTTGGACATACTGAGTATGCAACCACTCATAATGTCCATGTCATCTCTGTATGACCATGACCTGATTATGTGTGATTAAGTGTGACTATAACAGGTGTGAGCTAGTGATGTTGACAGATGTGAGTAGTATGTATTATCAATCGAAAGTGAAATACATGAAACAGGAGGTTGAGAAGATCGAACAGAAGAGGGTATAAACAGAGAATGATTAGTGTGGAACCAGAAGCAAAATGAATTCTGAGACGATTGAATGGCATTTGCAGAAGGAACAGTCAAGTTTGAGACAATGAATTGACATTTTGCAAATGCAGTTTATATCTAATGGTTATCAGATATTTTCAAAAGATATTCTGTAATTTTCTTAGCAAATACACTTGTGTTCTCGTTCACTACATCACAATTACCACTAACAAATGTATAAACATACATCAAACCAAATTTTAACTACTTATAATGACAAGTTGTATACCTTTGACTTTGATAATAAAATGAAGCCGAACCATAGTGACAATGATAATGATGAAGTGATTCATTAATGCTTCTGAATTAAGTAAGTTAACTTTGTGTTGTGCATGAATTTCTATTAGAAATACACAGTACAATGAATAAATTAATTCAGACGAATCCCAATTAATTTCACTATTTCACTTGATATTTTGTGAAAATTCAGATTCAAAGTGAAAGATACATTGACTCACATTTATTACCAGTACATACAGCATACACAATATCATCATCTCAGTGAACAATATTGAAATGTTATTGTCAAGTGAATCTTGGACTAAAATATTCATCCTGTGCAATTGTAGTTTTATAGTAAGTATCATTACATGTATTCGCCTTATATGGTTATTCATTTCATCTTACTTATACAATCCAGGTGTTTGGTGTTGTTCTGTTAGCACTCGGAATTCAACCACAAATCACATTAAATCAATTCAGAACTATACTACAAAATGCGAAACCAGAGATCTTCCTGATTGTCAGTATTTCAGGAGGTCTCGGTGTACTAGGATCATTTGCTGGCATTTATGGACACTCGATGAAACAGAAAATGATCATATATTTTGTAAGTGATACGTGCAATATGGACAAATGTATTTCACTCACACTTCTGTTTAGAACATTTTCATTTTGTTTATCGTGACTTGTATGTGGATCGGAATGGCATCGAAAATAGCTTTAACGGAAGACAGGGTTTGTTTGATGTAAACTGAACCTAATGTGTCGTGCACACTGATCTTCATATCATTATAGTTCCTTAATTTGGTTAATAGCTCACTGAGTTCTACTTTTAAAGAATATGAGAAACGAGTTGATTGTCAAATGGAGTTTGATCAATTACAAAAGAGTGTAATTTATAATCAAATGCAAAATTCTGATGATCTCTTGTCTATAGTTTTATTGCTGTGGACCGTCATCATTCAAAGACTATCCACATGCAAAAAATGGTCATACATCACTATTACCTACTTCATGTAAATACGACAAATTCGCATATCCTAAAGTAAGTCAATATTTTTGCAAATTTTTAACCAATTACATAACCTGATTTCATCACTTTAACAATCCCCATAGAATATTCCCTTTTGAATTAACTTACGGTTTACAAACAAATACTAAATGTTCAGCTCATTCACTAGGAACACGTTGAGTCCCGAATTTGAAGATTAGGTGACATTAAATCCATTGAAGTTGTTGTCATTACTGACACTTCTGTTCCTCTCATCAGCACACTATAACTCAATCATATTAATGAGTGACTACTGGTAAAATCAAAACCATTAACTCAAACTCACTGAACTGCTCTACCGACACAACAAGAGATTGTTGTCTGTGACAAGACAGTTCTGTATTGTTCTCAGTCTTATTCTCATTCACAACAACATCACAGTCTATTCACTTTCACTACGCTTCACATTTCAATTATCCATGTAGATTTATTGAATGAATGATAAACATTTCATTGTAATTGTTTATTCATTTTTTCTCATCATTTCATCAAAGGGATGTGTATCAGCAATAATTGAATATACACAAAATCATCTAAATACAGTCATGTATCTATGTTTCATATTCGGGATTATTCAAGCGGTCTACTTGTTATTGTCATTTCTGAAAATACGTAAATTTGATGGTGACGATTTTCTATCTGCATAATTGTCTTATTGAGACCAAATGTTAAGAAGATATTCAATGGAACCTAATGTCAATCAAACAACCGAATCATTGACTATTCATTACTCATTCTATTGTCATTTGATCTTACTTATTTGTACACCATTATACACTATTCTTATCAACTGAATAATCAATTTCTTCATTATTTTCCTTGTTTAAATCAACTTGTTACTGGGAGGTATTTCGAAAGAAAACAAACAAACAATGAGAAACGTTTATTCTCTTTAACACAATCGATAGGATATTTCAACTAGAGTATATCAGTCAATCAGATTCGAAGTGTTCATACAACAAACACAAGGTACTTGATCGAAAGGAGATTATTATTATTATTATCATAAGGTATTGATTAAATTTCAAGATAGATGATTGTCATCTCTTCAGAGCGTTTATTGTGAAGGTGTAATAGCAATGATCAATCGATCTAGTTGTGGTTATTGAGAGTTGCATTATGATTTAATGATGGAAAGTAATTGGTTGACTATAACACTGAGAGTATTGTCGATTGATTGAGCTTTAGAAGTAAAACGATAGGCGTATTTTTCTTTGAAATTCTACTTGTGACATTTCGTCACAATATCTATTGAGCATAGTTGGAGATGTGAAAACCACACATTATATTTATTTAGTTTACAGGATGATAGTACGACTCACTTAGTATTGTTTTGCTTGTATTTTCCCATGGGTGGTTATGATTGCAATTGATCAGTCTGTTATTAACATATGTGCATACTGTGAGTATGCCTCGATATTGCTTTAATTCACAAGCTTTTATAAGCAAAGATGGGTAGTCGCTATCTGTGGATTCCAGTTTGACTCGCGTTTCGTCCTATTTGGGACTCGTCAACTGGAAGGACCTACATCTCAGTATTGATGTTCACTCTGATAACAATACTGATCAATAACTTCTGTTTGATGCGGTTACAGCATTGAAAATGAATTTGACAAAGAGAGAAGACTTCGCTTAATCAATCCTTCATGTTTAATGGCTTATAGGTGCATTCCGTTTAAAATATTCAAAAAGGTAAAATTAAATTCCGTCTAATACCATCTGATAATTGATTACAATTTGTATGTATGTATACATGCACATTGTGGAAGTTACCTAAGATGCGTGGACTCTAAATTTTGAACATAGAACTATAATTTATTAGTTAAAGGAACAATTCATTTAATGTAGAGGTAAAGATGAAGGTTAAGCAAAATCGTTATTTGGAAATTTCATCACAGTTTTACATTTTATCAAGAACTATAGAATGTTAATAATGAAATACCGATTCATTCTATTACGTTTAGTTTGTAGTGTTAGTCATAAGTTTTAGCCCATAATATATCTTATTCTAGTTTTCGGACAAACCAATCTATCCAATTCCACTTGAGTCATATGTTGACCTTGTCAATTATTCGCTTGTCAGTCTTGATTGTTTTTATATGAGCGTATATGTGTGTGCACATCGTATCCCATGTCTTATTGCCTGTCTGTAGCTTTATTTTGTCTGACTATAAATATCGAGTAACGTTTGACTAGAATGGAGTTAGCTTCCCAGCCATCTTCCCTGCGTATCATTTTGCTTGGCTCTGTTTCATTCGCTTCATATACAAAATATATGTATTCAAATGCCATTCTCGTTATTCGACTTATTTAATTCCGTTATTGATTTCAAAATTGGCTTCTGCAATGCCAAAATATCTCATAATCCATGCAGTGTAGATTGTGTAATGAAAGGCTCTAAAATTATGTAAACTAGTTGGTAGTACAGATATCCCAGTTCCAATTCCCTTCTCAAAGAAAATTGCATAGCACTGAATTCACCAACCTATAACATTCAAAGCAATTGGTTTATGGAATTCCTTACTAATTATTGATCGAATAAGATGGAATGTTGTGTTTTATTGCCTAGTTGAATGTTCAACACTTCCATAACTGACATGGACTGTAACATAAAGAGAACACACATTCCTACCATACGTCATTGAATTTACAATAAATGTTTCACAAATCAATCAAGCAAATAATGAATAATCTTGATTGTGCGTTAAAATAGGTCTTTCGCAATCATGTTGAGTTCCATGCATGTTCAGTCTAGATGTGAACTCCTGTTTAACACACGAAATCATAAATACATATAGAATTTTGGATATCTCAATATCTCGCATCGGCTACGCTTTCAAATATAAAACTCATCTGAACATCAGTCGTTACTGATTAGAAGGTATAAATTGAGCTTCATTTCTCTCTGTTCAGGCGACAATGATGACGATTCCACATATGTTGATATTTTGAACCGTGTAAATATATTAGATTTACTTGTTGATAGAGCGAGAATGATCCGTGATGTATATAGTGAATCCTCTATTGTCGTCTCATTGGAAGAAACTGTGACGAAATGTTTATCGTTTTTATCGTTAACATTCAGTGTCGCTGTCAAAGAGGAGGTGGAGATGGTGCTGTGCTGTGGATTCCGTTGTTGGATCTAGAGATGAGTATTAGGTTGGTGTTGTCTGTTGAGGTTAGTAGACGTCTAGTGGGGTAATCTGGTGAGATGATATTGCTTGTGATATTCACTGTTGAGAAGAGATAAGACACGAGACATTTGAGTGCTGGATGGACATCACATTTAGATGGTCTGCGTGGTGAAAACAGTTATATAGTTCAGAGTGTCGACGTAATCCACATTTCGATGAGGAACGAGGCACAGAATGTGCAAAAGTAGGAAAGGTGCACTGTGAGAAGAACGACTGAAGGAGCGACTGTTTAAAGAGGGAACAAGTGTGGTGTATGTTAATGAGGCTGACAGATATAAGTAGTACGTGGCAGCAATCGGAGTGGAATGTCTGTCAGAAGAAATTTCAAATGAAGAGAACAGGAAGGAAACGAATCACAATTAAAATAACAACTGAATTAAAACAATAATGCAGTATGTAAAAACCAATGCAAATAAGTTGTGCCAACATGTACTCCATATATCATTTGCATATTTTTTACTAAGTCACTGTATGATTTTTTATCAAACAGAAACAACTGGGTTTCTTTCCACGTGAGTATTTGTTCACTGCATTACAAATATTTAAGATAAATGAAATATTTTATTATGTTTATTGACAGTTTCGAATGCCTAGAAATGGAATGACGTAATGAAGTTTTGTATTTGAATAACTCCTATGTATTCTGAATGGCGTCAAAATCACTACGAGACATCATGGTTTTGATGTCACAAAACTGATCCCGCCTACATAAACAAGTTTTCGATAGTATTTGAATTAGTTGTGTTTAAATTATGATTATTAATTTGATTGAAATGGAATATTGTTATCGTAATGCACATACTGACGATGGTATATGTAAAATATCCCACTATCATCAAATGAATTGATGTGCTTGATTCATATAATTGTATCTAGATTGACGTAAATATTCATACATTAACACATTTACTGTAAACTGTTAATTGTCAAACCAACTGTTCTTCAGTCTCAAAATCAACGTCAACAAATATCTCTCGTAACATATTCTTCACTTTTCTGTTCGATATAGTCACATGAAACAACATAACATCAATATTCATCTACCAAACACGAGATTATTCTGATTAGCTTACACTCCACTTAATTATTCCTTCCCGATTTCATACAACTTTATACACAATATAAACTTTCAGTAAACAGAGGGGTTTTCGGACATTTTAGTAATTCAATAATTGAACTGATGAGTCAATTGAAGCTAGATCACCATGAAAAACCTGTAAGCGATGGACGGCCGTTTCATCCTAGTATGGAACTCTTCAACAGTGCACATTCAAGATCATGCCCCTCGATATTCGAACTCAGGTGTTCGATGGTGATCTAGCTTCCAATGAATCATGAATTCAATTGTTAGATAACTACAATCTCCGAAAAACCCCTCTCAGATTATAATCATCATATACTCACTAGTGACTGTTTCCAAGAGTTAATGACGAATGAATATCTGTCGATACGGTTGACCTATTTCAAAGCACAATCAAGATTATTCATTATTTGCTTAATTGATTTGTGAAACATTTATTGTAAATTCACTGACGTATGGTAGGAATGTGTGTTCTCTTCAAGTTACAATCCATGTCAGTTATGGAAGTGTTGAACATTCAACTAGGCAATAAAACACAACATTCCATATTAATCGATCAATAATTAGTAAGGAATTCCATAAACCAATTGCTTTGAATGTTATTGTTTGCTGTATTCAGTGCTATGCAATTTTCTTTCAGAAGTGAATTGGAACTGGAATACTTGTACTACCAACTAGTTTACATAAGTTTAGAGCCTTTCATTACACAATCCACACTGCATGGATTATGAGATATTTTGGCATTGCGGGAGCCAATTTTGAAATCCCATCATTATTCATCAATTACAGTGAATGATAACATCACTGATTTCTCACTGATTTGCATAGAACTAAACGTGACAGAATGATTCAGTATTTCAATATTAACATTCTATAGATCTTGATAAATTGTAAAACTGCAATGCGGTTGTCTTAACATTCATCTTTACAACTGCATTAAATAAATTCTTCACTAAGGCACGTCGTCGGCAGCTCGTTTTATGTGTATGCAAGTGATTTGATTTCATAATATTAGCGATACGTTTGGAGTTTGCGTGACGATAACACGCTATCTGATATATATTGTTTGAATATCGTTGAATCCTAGTTTGTGACTCATAAATAGCTTTAGAATTCAATAATTAAAGGGATATGGGTGGACTGTCAAACAACGAGCCCGGAAAAGCCACAATTCTGTCATTACATCTACCCCATGCTCTGTTACTCCTTTTGAATCTGATAATGTCGGGAGTGGTCTTACAACACACCTGCTGCTGGATGACTCTGTCTCTAATTTAATAATGAGTTCCACCTCAAGATCAAAATGTATCGATAATATTAGGAGTGAATCAGACACTGATGCAGCTACCCTTTCTCATGTTCTCCAGTACTCTGATTTATCAACGAAAGTTGCTAATTTGCCTATTATGCCTGTATTGACATCTGATAACCAATGTACATCTAATGACGACACTAATCCGATATTTTCCAGTTTACCATTTGAAGCCAATAAACAAATACCTAGTTCTTATGCAACAGCTCTTAAAAACACTATCGAGATTAAAAAGTCTTTGTCACATAAGAAGAATGTATGTACAGAACCTTCTGGTTGTAGACCCAAT